TTCTGTCAAACAACCTGTTCTCTATAGAGCTATATTCTTTTGTTACTGTGAGGTCGGTTTAAATAAATTGTTGCCTTTTGATTTCAATATATAGAATTTATATTTTATACATAGGGGCCTAATCTATTGAAGCCTAATCTATAGATCTAGAGTTTGATGGGAAAGGCCTGAGATTCTGCATTGAGTTTGTACTCTCAAAAAGTTTTTAACGTGCAATACAGCTATCACTAATCTTATGTAAAACAAGGAGAATGTAAAGGCATTTGGGGGAAAAGCCTCTATTTTGGTGGGGTGGGTGGGTAAAGAAAAGCTAAAGATGGTCTTTTCATGATCTGTAAATGTACCTAAATGCCAACATCCAAATGTCTCGAATAGAGTAGTATTCTGCTTCTTTGAGTAGAGTGATATTATATGGGGGCAGGAGTGTGATGGGGGCGGGGGCGAGGGCGGAGAGCGAATTGCTGGTCACATATCTTGGCTTTCTTTTAAGGTATAACTTTTAATATTGTAGTGGATATTGTCATTCCTCTTGAGTTTTGTAAGGAAGCAGAAATGAGTGGTAGAAGGTGAAAACACCAGAGAACAAAATTGAGCCATATTTTCAGAGTGAGCATTGTTTTCCTGTCATTTTTATGTGTTTTAATTTAGCCGGTGTTGGGTGAGCACTTCAGAGAGAAGGGATTTATTATTCTTAAAATGAAGCTACCCTCTTGTCCTTTGTTTTCAATTGATTGAGCTACCTTTGTTTGTTTTTCCCCCAAAATGTTTATTAACTCTTACAGAACTGCTTGCTGCATTGATTGCTGCATTTAGCTCCTTGTGCATTTCTTACTTTCTCCTTTTCCGGCCTTCAGTTGGAGAAGAAAACCGTGAAAAATATTTTCTTCCTCCAGGCCCTTTAAACAATTTTGCTTCAAAACAGCAACTGCCTGACAGCAAAATCCCCTTTAGGGCTTTAGGAGCAACAGTCAGCTTCACAGCTGGAGTGCTTTCCTCGGGGACATTGTTCACAGAGTGAGATTCATTTGTTCCACGTGTGGAACGGAGGAGTTAAGTGAAGGAGCTGCTGGTTCTCTGCTCACTGATAAAATCGGTAGTTGCTTAAAAGCATTGTTTTAAAACTTTTCAGTGTGTTCACTAAATCCCCGCTTTCTCTTACTCCAGCTCTCTTAATTCACTTTAGGACGACACACACCAAGCAGGCAGCACCAATAGCCTGTTTCTCGTTCAGAGCAGACAGCAGTAGCTATCAGTCCCATTTTTCTTTTCTTGAACGTAGCTGGAAATGAAACTGCACTGCTCTAATTACAGTTCTTTAATAAGCCACTACTAGGGAATGATAATTGGGCATTACTTTATATATATTCTTTGAGATATTTTAGCCAGCCTCATGACTTAATCTATATTTGGTATTTGCTTATAATACTTAAATCTAAATCAATAGTCTCATATCCTCTCCCGGCTGTAAATCCATGTATATTCATGTATAATCCATGTATCCTCCCCCAGCTGTAGATCCATGCTTACTGGCAATGCAATATTAGTCTAAGTTCAGCATGCTGAACATTAAATGTATAGTTTCCCTTTCATACCCTAATGTCCTTCATATAGCCAGTACTTTGCAAATAATAGACATATTCTTGTACCTAGATATCCTCTGTAAATTCTCTTTAAGAAAAGGTCTGCAGAGTGTACCTCTCTCTGTAGAGCATATGTTTTAGAACAGTGGTGACGTAGAGAGTTAAGTATTGGGCTACTGCGTTAGACCAGGTTGACTAGAGAAACAAATCCAGTGACACTCAGATGTATAATAGCTTTATATCAAGAAGTAATTACATATCCAAAAAGCATCCCAGCCCAGTCCAACTCAAGTCCATAAGCCTACTATTGATCCATAGTCCCTCTTCAGACTTATGCAGCCACATGTAATGATGCAGAATGCAGGCAGATCACAGGCTGCTGGTGCAGTTGTGTGGATCCAATGTCAATGGAAACATGTCAGGCACCAGCACCTCTCCAGGGGGCTATCAGAGTCTGAGCAGGCAGGAAGGCAGAGTGCTGAGTGAGAAGGAGGTCCCCAGGGTCCTCCTTACAAGAAGACCACACCCTAAAGGGAACATCATGGGGCTGTGACCTGACTGACAGGTTGAACTCCACCCCTACAGTTTCTTACATCTTCAGGTTGACATAAAATTGTCGAGCTACAACAGCTGCTCGGAGGGAGAAAGATGAGGCTTTCTGTTGCTATAAAGATTTACAGCCTTGGGGTACAGTTCTACTCTGCCCCATGGGGTCATCAGGCATTGGAATCGACTCGATGGCAGTGAGCTTTGTTTCGTTCCGTTATGGGTTGAAGCGTGCTGCAATCATGCAGTAGGCTGTGGTAGGGTCACATGCTAATGTGGGTTGCTTTTAAGGGTGGTGTGTTAGTGAGAAACACCCTATACTACATGAACACAGACTGCAAGTGCTAGTGCCTCCTTTGCACTCATACCAGTAGTCAACGACAAGGGGCCTGAGAAACCGATTTTCTCGAGGTAAAATGATCAGGTTTCACCAGACACCTCCAATCTTTCCTTTGTCTCGTATTACTTTGAATCTATCTGGTCTCTGCAGACATTAAAAAGAAAATGGAAACAGGAACAAGAGAAACCAAACCCACTGCCATGGAGTTGATTCTTGCTGATAGCAAGTTTCTTCCAAATGTGCACCCATTGTGTCTTGTTCAAATTCTGATCTCACTGTCTTTGAGTCAGTTCCAAGTCAGTTCACACCTTATGGGACATAGTAGAACTGCCCCAGTGTGTTTCCGAAGCTGTGAATCCTTATGGCAGCTGAGAGCCTCATCTTTCTGAGGTGAAGTGGCTGGTGCATTTGAACTATTGACCTTGTGGTTTGCAGCCTACTCATACCCCACTGTGCTATCAGTCTTGTACCGTGGACAAAGGTGGTATATAGTAAATCATACTGACCCCATTCCCAATGCTTCGGCACTGTGGTACAAAAGGTAACTCCTAAAGAAAGTATCTGATGAGAGATTTGGCATAATAATTTTATCCTGAGAACCTAATGAAATTATTAGATGGTTTTAGTTTAAATATTTCTTACTGTGGAGGATAAATTAAGGGAGAGTAAAAAATGGAGGCAGAGGCAACAGTGAAAGGAGATGTTGTATTAGTGCAGGAAAAAGGAAATGAAGACTGAAATTGAGATGAAAAGGTAGATTTGAGACATAAATCCAATATGGAGCTAACAAATATTTAGAAATATTCTGCTGTTACTATGTTTTTTTTGTTTGTTTTTATTTAGAAAATATTATTTGATTAGAGAGCAGGGTGCTTAGGTTGACAAAAGTGATTGATAACACTCCATCTGTCTGCTTCATCTGTGTTCAGAAAATTGATGTTTGAAATATCTAGATAAATTATATTAATCTTTTTGCAGAATAGCTTTGGTTCTGAGCACTGAAATCTCTTAGACAATGAAAGTGACACTTTGTAAAGTGACCATGTTAACAGAAAGAGTGTGTAATAAAGTATTTAAATATTTTGTTTATAAAACCTTGAGATGAGAAGAACTTTGATAATACCATTTGATACAATATGAAATAATAGACATCATTTTGCAGAAGTACTGAAAATCTGTTGGTTGTGCTAAAATATCAGCATATTTAATTGCCTAACTTTACTGTATTTTAACTTAGTAACTTTACTGATACATACTGAGTATTTTTTGCAAAATTGGAAAATCTTCCCATGATCATTTTAATTTATTATTATTATTATTATTTTAATCATTTTATTGGGGGCTCGTACAGCTCATCACAATACATCCATCCATCCATTGTGTCAAGCACATTTGCACATATGTTGCCATCATCATTTCAGGGCATTTTCATTCTACTTGAGCCCTTGGTATCAGTTCCTCATTCCCCCCCACTCCCACCTTCCCTCTCTCCTTCCCTCACAAACCCTTTATAATTTACAAATTATTATTATTTTTTCATATCTTACACTGCTCATGATTATTTTTGGATATAATTTAATCAAGATAATTTTATGCCTGGTACTTGGGTCACCAATTTTTCTTTTTATAACTATAGTATTCATTAGATGTTTTAAAAGTTACAGTTCTATATTTTTAAATATACTATTGAATATTATTTTAGATAAATACTTATTTTTTTGCTCAGAAATTTTTAGTTAGTGTTACACTGATGTATGAAAAATTAGAGTAGATACCCTATACAAGATGAAAAGATATCTCTGCTTGTTGCTTGTTTTAAGAATTTTTTGTGTGAATTGTTAACTGATTTATCAGTCTAATACAGTCGCTATTATGATCATGATTGAATGCAAAGAAATTAATTTTTTGTTTTCTGCTTAGCTTACTTCAACTGGGCTAATTACTTTTGATGAATGTCTAATTTCTTTGGGACAGTTTTTACAACAAGGATGCGTTTTCTTCAAAATCAGATTAAAAAAGGAATATTACGGAGATACAATTGATACTACTATAATAAAGTATATTAGTAGCTCACAATATCATGATAGACAGTTTTTAAGTATTTGGCTGTTACTTTTGGCCGTAGATCAATTAATGGTTATTCTTTAATATTTAAAACTCCGGACCCTCTTATATGTTGAAAAGATGATTTGAACTCCATATAGTAATGAGCTCTCAAAATGAAGGAATGTGTGCTGTGTGTGTGTGTGTGTGTGTGTTAGCATGTAACTAATACTAAATTTTCATGAGCTGAGATGGAAGCTTCCTCTTACTAATTGTTTTTCCTCCCCCTCTTTCTATACTTGGTATGCTCCACAAATTTAGAGCAGGTTATCCTTAATTATATAGGATGAACCAATGTAATGCTTAATTCTTTGATTTTAAAAGAGAAAAAATTTCTTATTTTTAAGTACTCTTTCCCCTCATTTCATTTAGTATTAAAATATGTTCAGTGGTTGGCCTCTGCTATTTATAACCCCTTTCTCTATTTTCAGTTAACAGCGCGGGCCTTGCCTGCTGTGCAGTCTGATGAGAGACTTCAGCCTCTGCTCAACCACCTCAGGTAATATCTGTTATACTCGTAGATGCAAAACATTAAAGCTCTTAAAAATGTGGTAAAGTGATGTTAAAGCTCTTTTCAATTACGAAAAAAATTAAAAAAGGAAATATCCTGCCTTACTTCTATGTCTTAAATTGAAATTTGTAGTACAATATGCTTCAGAAGAGGGTCTTGTAGAAAACACTTATACTTTAATAAAAATGAATAGCACTAGGTTAAGCTAAAATAAGGAGACATGAGTAACTTACAGAAATGTCTAAAAGGAATTTATAGTACAAGTGAAAAGCATGCTTTCAGGACCTACATATAATCTACTAGGATTGGGGTTTGTATTTTTAAACACAATATAATATATCCCCATTTATTAAAAAGTAAACTGAGAAAATAGAGGAAAAGACAAAGAAAAATACATCACCACTAATTGGAAGTAATACTTTCCCTCCTCTGTGCTGGCAGAAAACCCTGCATTGTGTTTTTTAACATAAAGATGGTATGAGTCTACCTGTTACTAAAATTGCTTCAAAAACATAATTTTAGGGATGCCACAGTATTTTCTTACACAGTTGTACTGGTGTGTACAGTACCTTTTGGGTGCATTTAGGCCATTTCCATTTTTTTTTGGTATACTAAATAATGTTATTTGCAAACATATAATTTAGATAATTTCCTTAGGATATGTTTTCAGAAGTAGAATTAACTTTGTTAAAGAATATGAACATTTCAAAAGGTTTATATATATATTTCACAAACTTTATTCTGAATCTACTTTTATAGTGCCCCAAACGGTCTATATTATTACCTTGAACAAGGTGGAACTGCCAAAACAGTACCTAACTTAATAGGTTAATCATGAAAGTACTGTTGTGATCCTATTGACTGGTTACTATTAAAATAAGTTGTAAACACTTCATTATTCACTTTCAGTAATTTATTTTCAGTTATTGAAAGCATCTCCCATTTTATTTGGACTTTGTGCCTTAGAGTCCCGGTGGCACAAACAGTTAAGTATTGCCTGTAGCTGGAAGGTACTAAACTGCCCTCCCTTGGAAGGCAGCTTGGAAGACAGGCCTGATGCCCTGCTTCTGAACGGTCAGTCTTGACACCCGTGAGGACAGTTCTGCTGTGCACATGCGCTCTCACCACCAGTCCGATCAGCTTGATGGCAACTGGCAGCAGCACCCTCTTTAGCTGTGAAGCATAGTATTCCGTCGTTGTTATTTGTTAGCTTTTTTACCCCTGGAGAGTTTTGATTATCTGCAGAACTATATCATCACATTTTATGTAGTTAGGTGGCAATAGATTTTCTTTATTATTATTTTCTTTCTTATTTTCTCTTTATTTTTTTAAAACTTAGAACATCAAGTCTCATTCAAAAGTTTGGATGGATGTTAATTTCTAGCATCTTTTAGTTTTTTGATTCTTTTTAATTCTCCCCTTCAACTCCCTTCTTTTTCCTTCCTTTCCTGCTCTTGAGTAGCTTCTACTTTCTAGACAGATATTTCTTAATTTCTGTATTATTTGGGGGGAGGAGGGAGGAGTAAAAAGCCAATATTTCGCCATGGCGAGAGTATCCTAAATAATCTATCATCATTAAATTTTCTAACGCTTTATATTAAGAAACCCAGCAGTCATGTTTGAGTCTCTTCCCCACCCACCTTTACCCACCCATCTGTTGATCAAAGCCTGTTGATTTATCTCCTGAATATTTCTTTTACTGTAATAGTCTTTTATTGGTTTACCATGACACCCTGTTTGCCCTTTCTAAGTATAATTTACATAATTGCCAGGAAAACCGTATTATTATTATTATCTTTTAAAATCATTTTATTGGGGGCTCATACAGCACTTATCATAATACATCCATCCATCCATTGTGTCAAGCTCATTTGTACATTTGTTGCCATCAATCATTTTCAAAACATTTTCTTTCTGCTTGAGCCCTTGGTATCAGCTCCTTATTTCCCCCCCCCTCCCTCACGAACCCTTGATAATTTTTAAATTGTTATTATTTTTTCATGTCTTACACTGACCGATGTCTCTCTTCACCCACTTTCCTGTTTTCCATCCCCCAGGGAGGATCAGTGGTCTGTTTCCCCTTTCTGCCCCCACCTTCTCCTTACCCTCCTGGTATTGCTACTCTCAATGTTGGTCCTGGGTAGTTTATCTGTCCTGTAATCCCTTTGTTTTCAGCTCTTATTTGTACGCATGTACATACTCTGGTCTAGCTGGATTTGTAAGGTAGAATTGGGATCATGGTAGTGGGAGGGAGGAAGCATTAAAGAAATAGAGGAAAGGTGTATGTTTCTTTGGTGCTATACTGCACCTGACTGGCTTGTCTCTTTCTTGTGAACCTTCTGTAAGAGGATATCCAGTTGTCTACAGATGGACTTTGGGTCTCCACTCTGCACTCCACCTCATTCACATTGATATGATTTTTTTTTTGTTCTGGGTCTTTGATGCCTGATACCTGATCTCATCGACACTTCATGATCACACAAGCTGGTGTGTTTCTTCCATGTGGACTTTGTTGCTTCTCAGCTAGATGGCCGTTTGTTTATCTTCAAGCCTTTTAAGACCCTAGACACTATATCTTTTGATAGCTGGGCATCATCAGCTTTCTTCACCACATTTGCTTATGCACCCATTTGTCTTCAGTGATCGTGTGAGCATCATGGAATGCCAGGTTATTAGAACAAAGTGTTCTTGTGTTGAGGTAATACTTGAGTAGAGGCCCAGTGTCTGTCTGCTACCTTGATACTTAACATATAAATACATGTACATAGATCTATTTCCCTATCATTATATAAAAGTATATTTACATATGTACATGCCTGTATTTAGACCTCTATAAATGCCCTCTGTCTCCTATTCATTCCTCTATTTCCTTTTACTTTTCTCTTGTGCCACTATCATGTTTGGCCTTCATTCGGTTTTCAATAATTTCTCTTATTACATTGTCCTGGATCAAGCCTTACCTGGTATCCTATGCCCTCATCTTATTCTTATACTTTGAACCACTCTCTGACTCCTAATTTCATTTGCGATGAAGTCTGATCTTAGCTGGCCTTGTCTCCTCGACCGACTCATCTTTCAGCATGCTCACTTTCAGCCCCGCCACATACCTTGAAGTTCCCCTAATATAATAGGCTTTTGCTTACCTCTATACCCTTGAAAATAATCTTTCTCTTGTCTAGAACATCCTTCTTTCCTTCCTGCACTTCTATTACTTAACTAATGTTTATTTGACTTTTAAGACCCAGCTTAAGTGTTCCCTTCTCTGATAAGCGTACCCTGACCATTTGGCTTCCCAATCTCCTAGTTTGAATTAGGTACCTTTTCTGTTTCCATAGCTACCTCTATATGACAGAACTTATGATGTTCCCAATGCTTGTGTCCTTGTCTTGTTTTCCCATTGTAGTATGAGTTGCTTGAAAGTTTGTAAGATGACTTTATTATTTGTATTTCCAGTTGCTATGAATGATAGTGTCTGGTGTATGATAGGTAATCATGAGTTTTGTCGAATAAATGGATGCATGTTATAACTGATATTTTATTGTTTTTCTGCCCAATGTTTTTACAACTTATAAATCATATTGTCACTTTTTTCCCAGTAAAACTACTGGTTCAAAAGATGTAAACCTAAAGGGAAAAAAAAAATCTCACCTCTAGTTAATGCTTGGTTCTATGAAATAATGATATATCCTCCTCCTACTACTTCAGTATGGTAATTGTCAAGTAGAATTTAGATTAACTACTGACATGTCTCTCCGGGTCCTTGAAACTTGCACAAACTGTACATTCATTTAAGGGCTTTCATTCTCTGTGGAGTTCACTCATGGCTTGTTGCTAAGCAACCAGGGCTGGATGCTACATGTAATATGCACCAACTGATATTGCTTTTTTATTATTATTAAACCAAACTGTTTCTCATTTTATTACCATTTCGGAGACATCTCTGTGTAGGGTGGCAGCTGATGTGCATCGTTTGATACTTTCTGTTGTATGAAGTAACCTTGTGTTCTGATTTTCCAGCACATTGAATTATCTCTTTGGATATCTAGAAACAGTGCTTTTCCTTTATCTTTGCTGAAGTCAAAATAAGAGTATGAGAGCTTCAATAGGTTGTGGGGAAAAAATGGAATGAAAATATAATGGAATTTTCCCACAAACGTTTTGAAGCTACTTTGCATTTAGTTTGAGAGATTCTAATGATAATCATGTTAGGAAAAATAATCATCATTGATTTGTATGGCTGTATAATCTAAATGTTACCTACAGGGGATGGGCCTTTGGAGGTTGTGACTGAGATAATTATTGGTTCTAATTTGTTTAGTGCCTCTAATGATCAAAGAGGGATGATGAATAGCATTTTAATTAAATTTGTCAATAAACTAATTTAGGAGATGATACAAATACCTGTAAAAAATGTAGTGACAATACAGAGAAATTCTCAAGTTATTTTCTAAGACTATAAGAAACTCAGAATTTTTATATTATTTAGTCACTTTGTAATTTAGGATCTTGCCTGTGTGCATGTATGAGTGTGTAGGTATGTATATATAATATATATAACATATAGGGAACACATATATTTTATGCATAATTTGGAGACAAAAGGAATGATGTGTCCAAATGATCTTAGTTGAACCTAATCCTCTAGTTAAAAATTAAGTACAGAAAACTAAATGACTTCCTCAACATATTTTTGAACTATAAGTGTTTTTTTCCCTTTTAATTCGTTAGTGGGATCCATCCATTTATCAGTTGGTGAATGCCCGTTATGTGCTTCAAATAATAATTTTAAAAAACTCAAACCAGACGCAACCTCTATTCTCAAGGAATTCACAAGTTTCATTGAGAGCTAGACATGTAAATTCAAAAAGTTAAAATTTTTCTAGTAGAAGTAAACACAAATATATAATTTCATTGATTTAACTGTTTTCCCCATTGAATTATTTTCTCAAGTCATGGGAGCCTCCAGTCATTTGGTTTTGTTTTTGTAT